CTCAGTTATGTTCTGCAGTTGGGTTTAATTTTAACTTCCTTTGTCTCCTTTTTGCGGGCTTCTAGCTGATTAGCTTTACGACTGAGGACGGAAAGGAGGCTGTCTGCTCGCCATAAAGGTAACCACTCGCAACGCGCAAAAAACAAGCGCATAATGTCCAATGCGGTATTAGTGCGCAGACTGTGAAATAGTCTAAATGTTGGCCTGTTGCATTTGAGAGAAGCTGGAAGCGAAGTATGAGTGATGGTGGGCGAATAACGGAACATTCAGCGCACCTGTGCTCAGGTTACGCTGTCACGTGATCTATCCTGTAACTTCACTCCTGCACGTTATCTGAAGTTATTAAATGTGGAAGTAGTAGCGTTACAAAAACCTGGTTGTTGCTCTATGTGCAGCACCTTGATCAACCTTTGTCGTTTTTAAATACATTTACTTGACAGGATTTCACAGGAAAAGTTTAAAAAGTTGCACTTTAAAGCAAAACGACAAATTAATGGGAACATGTTCTGCGCATGTCTTTCTGCTCTTTATTTATTTTTAGTTTTTTAATTTAATTTGTGGACTCCTTTTCGCTTAAGGCACCTTTCTTATGATTGGCTACACCAAGCAAAGTGGAGGCTTGAACGGCAGGTGGGTGTGGCACACGGATATCCTCATTCTGTCAAGGCGTAACAGAGCTGACCTCTGACCTTTTGGCTCACAGGAATTAGTTGTAGGTACACTGACGTCAGTATTTGAAACTTTGTATTTAATGTGACAATACACTACTGAAAGAGCATAATGCATATGACAGATAAAATGATATTTTGGCAGTGCTCTTTTCAACTTACAGAATGGGTTGACTTTATGTTCCTATTATATGTTGTTGTTATTTAAGGTGTTTCCTCCTGGGTTTACATTCCTATACTTTATACGTTATCATCACACAGGCACAGTTAATGGTTTATATCTCTCAGAAGTCAACTTGAAATGACCCACTGGCCAAATTTAGTTGGACAAAAAGCAATATCTTTAAGAATGAGCCTGGTATTCCTTTAAAAAATATCAGTATCCACAGCAGGGCTTATAAAACTGCAATGTTACATATTTGTAGTGTAGAAGTGGCTAATTATTTTGAGTGCTTCATTTGTATGTTACAAACTGATTAGGCCTCAGTCACACAGGCTTAGAAACAGAGTAATGATGTGAATTGCCTGACCAGTTGGCAGCTGTGCACCAAACCCTCCCTGCAGGCCTCGACTGGGACAAAAAAATCGGCCCGGGCATTTTGACTAGAGACCAGTCCACAAAGTATTATAGGAAAAGCCATAAAGCCTTTGAATGAAAACAAATGCTGTTGTGACAGTAATGTACACGCTCTTGTTGGTATATATGATTTCTATACATTTTATATCATATGACCACTTTGGTTTTAAGATTTAGAATTAATTATTTATTAAAAGCGAGATATTTTAAATGAGAATAACAAAGAAAAGTATTTCTTTGTGCCCCCCTCTCCCTGTTAATACCCTACCTGGCCCCCTGGCAACACTTTGCTAGACCCGCCCCTGCACAGTTACCAGCTGTCAGCTACTTAGAAAAGGATCCTGGTGTTATTTGTCTCTCAGAAACGGTTCATAACTTCCCTTCATGTCACCT